GTGCATCAGACACATAATACACCGGCACATAGTGTTAAGCTAGAAGATGATATCCGAGAATTAAACCAGAAAGCGGTGTTACTCATGGATAAAATTACATCGAGTGAAAAAGCACAGATGAGCGCTTTCCAAGCGTCTAGACAAGAAATGAACAAATTAACTGAGACGTTAATGACCCAGCATGTTACCTCGGCACCCACCATGAGGCAGACACAGCCTACTTGGAGAATGGGTTCAGATGGATGCTGGTACTGTGAAGAAACAGGGCATTTCGCAATGAATTGTCCTCATAGGGAAGAACATATTAGAACGGGAAAAATTAAAATGTCCGGTCATAAGATGTTTTTCGCGCTCACAGGACAACCAGTACCTAGAGGGACAAATGGGAAGTCTGCTAAAATGATTGTTGAGGAAGCTAGCAATAAAGATATGATGGCACAAAGCAATATGTTTGCATCGCCTGGAGAAATTTACACACAGAACAGCGGAGAGCCAGGTATCGTCCAGTTGGGAATAGATGCTCGAGTTAAATCAGTATACACCAACCAGATTAGAGATTCGAGAGATGATCTTTTAGATAAAATGGCTACTCGAATTGATACGCTGTTGGGTAATAAAGTGCCGGCACAGGTGGCACATCCATCGGCACAAGAAGTTGACATAGTTAACAATATGAAAAACATTCTGTCATATTTTGAGGAACAGCAAGGTCAAGGTCAAGAAGCTGCAAGTTATGTAGCTACTAGACGCAGTCAAGCTGATACTCAGGGACAGCAGGGTTTCTCATAGGTTCAAGGATTGAGCGATCTGGTAGGAATGCGGCCAATACCAGAAGTAAGAAAGCTCTTGAGAACCAAACTAAAGCTAAAAACCGCAGACAATTAGCAGAATTCGAAGATTCTGATGATGAGCAAGAAGAAGAAATTGAAGAAATGGAGGAAGAAATTCCGCCTGTAGTAATTAAAGAAACCCAGAAAACTATACCAAAACCGAAAGGGAAGCCTAAACCACTTCTCCCAAGGGATGATGAAGAAGAGGATCCAGTGCCTAGGCATAAACAGTTACCATACTTAAATATTCCTGACCTGAATGATCCTAGACAAAAAGAAGAAATAAAGATTGATAATTTTGAGCCAATTATTGATACTGAGAAAAGACCTGTTTCTTATAAACACCAAGCACCAATTGAGAATGTGACACATGAGAGAGAGGCTTTAGCGAATCTCTATAATGCCCCAGTTACACTGACGGCAGAGACTTTGATAAGCATTTCCCCAGGTATTAGACACGACTTGATTAAAGCTTTATCTAAGAAAAGGATGCCAGTACAACAAGCTCAAAACCGAAAAGTTACTATGATGGAAGAGCCTGACGTTGATGCGGTACCGTTAAAACCTACAAAATTTGAATTGGAGGCAGACGCGATATCTATTAATGATTTAAATATAAAAGCGGCTTTTATAGTGACAACAAGAGATGAAGGAAATGTGCCAAAAGGGTCTATCATAATCAGTGATCCAGTAGCGCAATACCTGCAGAGTTTAGGTCCATCTGAGAAACCGAAACAAATCTATGTTGCAAAGGAGTCTCATGCATTACGAACCGTCTTCCCAGTAATTAATAGAATGGGACAGATTGAATGTTTGTTAGACGCTGG